AGCATCGCATAAAGCAGCAGGTTGGCGTCCTGCTGGCTGTTAGGTCACGTTTTAAGGAGTAGCTTGTTGCTGTTTTTCCAAATCGCTGTCGCGCTCCGGGCTGCCCGGAGCTGGATTCCGGCTTCCATGACGTCGTCCTCTGCGAACGCGGCTTAAATGTCAAAGCGCAGTGTCGTCTTCGCGCTGTTTGCCGGGCGCTTCTTAGCACCGGGACATAATGGCACTAAAAATAGTGCGGTGAGATGCTTCCCTAATCTTTGGGGAGGGCTTTTGTAGGGCAGATGGGGATGCAGACCACGCTTAGGTCCTCTACGTCAGCACGCGCTGAGGAGGCTCCCGAGCCAGTTCGCAGTGTCACAAAGTTAATAGCTGCTTTTTGGACCTGTCCAGCTCGTGGGGACGCCCCGCGCGATGTCCCCGGCGCCACGGCCTCTCCGGTGGCCTCGTGGCTCTGGGTTCCTGTTGCATTTCTGGTGCTTGTGCCACGAGTCGGGCCCTGATTTGGCCTCCACGCGGCTCGTGCAGGGAGCGGGGCCCGCGGCCCTTGTTGAGCACGAGCTCGCCGAGGAGCTGATGCTTTTCCAGCTCCTGCGTGGTGACTTTCGCCGCAAAAACGTGGGGTTAATCTGGGCATTCAAAAACTCCTGGAGGAAAACGTTTTGGAGAAATATGTAGCGCCTCTGACACTTGTTATAGGTGTTACAACACAGAGGATGTTCTAGCTGCCCCTGATGTTGCTCCTTGACACTAAGAAGCTCCCCCGTGGCTGGTGGGGACCCTGGGCCGCCTCACGGGGGACACCGGGGCCCTGCTGGGCTTCTGGCCCTTGCTTGTCCCTGCAGCACCGAAAAGTGAAGGATGAAGCTGCGAAACAAACGCAGGGAGATGGTCCTGAACGCGCAGCCTTCCCCGCGCCGTGTCCTCCGTGCGCCGGGCTCTGTCTCCATCCTTCCCTCCCCTCGGCCGTTGCAGCGGGAGGCACCTGATCCATGAACTCCGCGGCTTCCAAGCCGCCTCTGGATGTGTTTTAATCTTTTGTCATAAACTCAAGAGTCCCCTCGAAGAGGAAGGAAACTGCAGGTGTCTTTGCCCTTGACGGGAGGATTTAACTGCAGTTTGGCCGTCGCTTCAATGACGTGTCGAGCCCTTGGCTGCTTTGCTCCTCGTGAGAAAACTGCAGCCTCAGAGTACAGTTGTATGTTAAATACATAAATAATATGAAAAATGCAACCTCCCTATTCTGCTGAGTGAGAATTTTCTGTGCAGCCGTTTGGATTGCAGAGGTTAAAGCCTTTCGCTAGGGAACACGTGAAACTTGGTCGTGCCTAAAGCCACGTTCCCTTGGCCCGTAGGGATCTGCCTTTTCCTGTAGATGCTCCATCGGGAAGGGAAACGCATGAGGGAAAGGTTGGAAGGCTCCGTGCAGCAGATCTTTGGGCACGTGTGAAGAGGGGCAGGAACCTCTCCATGCAGGAGAAGTGCCGGAGTGCCGAACTCCCGTCATTCCGGCTCCCACCTCCCATCTCCCGTGGGTTGCCCCTTCCAAATGAATTTGGCCACACAGATTTGTTCTCCAAAATGATCTTTAATTTTTTTTTTTTTTTGCTTTTCCCTTGCAGGAAATAGACAGACGGTTGGAAAAGAAGCTGAAGATCACCCAGAAGGAAAGGTAATGGTACCGTGCGGCCGGAAACCCAGCCTTGTTTCCCTGCGGTGCAGCCGGGTGTCTTGGAGGCCTGGGGAGAGCGGGTCCCTTGGGAATTCTGTGACGCGTAGGTAACTCTGGGATCGAGTTAGGAAATAGGGAATCTCTCTACTCGTGCCACTAGGTGGCCCTTCTGATCCATAGCAGGGTAGCGGGAAGATTCTTGAGTGGTTTTACTTCAGGGCCGGGTCTGCAAGCCTGGATGTAGCTACGGCTACGGGAAGCCTTTTCAGGAAAAGCCACTCACAGGAAGAAATGGGTGAATCGGGCAATCCCAGCTTGGAGCCCGGAATTGGCTCCCGTGCCTTGCGTGAGGGAGGTCTCTTTCCCACTTACCTTGGCGTGCTGTGGGTGCAGAGGGATGTTCCTGCCTTCTCCTCCAGCTCCCTTGTTGCTACATACTTCCAAGATGTCCTTTTTTACCCACTCCCCGTCCCTCTGAATCTCACTAGACCCCTGTGAGGTCAGACACCCTGTTATTTCTCTGGGATTTCCACCCAGAGAAGGGACTCTCCAAATTGGGGTGCTGATACCTTGGGCCACAACTGGCTCCAAGAGTGAAATGACAGGGCTGAAGTGAAAGGCCAGAATTGCTGGTGAGAGGCGGTCTAAAAAAAATGAAGGGAGTAGAAGCAAGATGCTTAGGCTAATGTCATTTGAGTATAAGTGTTTCAGAGTCTTTTTTTTTGAAAATCTTTGATGTTTAAGGCACAAAGCTTGCAGTTTCTGTCCCCAAAGAAGGCTAAATGGGCTATCAAGATACTAAAATCTGAAGTTAATCCTTAAAGCGGACACCAGCAGCAAAACTTCAGGCTATCTGCCTGTTTAAAAGGGAGCTTGTTTTGCTTGGTGTTGGCTTTCCCTTGCCTCGCTCGAGTTTGAAGACACCCTGCATGGCAGAGACGGGTTCTGTGTCCCTTGCAGAGCCCAACGTCCTGCAGAGCTGCCTGTCTGTGTAGTTTAGGGTGACAAATGTAGCCAGGTCTTTAATTACTACAGGCTGCCTCTTAGTCACGGCAGTGACATGTGGCCAGGCCGCGTTCACGCGCAGAACCAAGAACACCCTTGTGGTAGGAGACAAGTAACCGATGGGACGTGTTTTCCTCCTAAACAGCAGAAAATCCAAATCTCCTCCCAAAGTGCCGCTGGTGATCCAGGACGAGAGCCTGCCCGCGGGCCCCCCGCCGCAGATCCGCATCCTGAAGAGGCCGACGACCAACGGCGTGCTCAGCAACCCCAACTCCGCCAGCAGGCCGGCCTTCCCGGTGAAGTCCCTGGCGCAGAGGGAAGCGGAATACGCCGAAGCCCGGAAACGAATATTGGGCAGCGCCAGCCCCGAGGAGGAGCAGGAGAAGCCAATCCTGGATAGGTGAGGAGGCCGCGGCGGCAGCGCTGCCTGCCTGGGCAGCAGGTGGCACAGGGCTGCGTCCAAGCGGGTTTGAAGATCTCCAGAGAAGGAGACTCCACAACCTCTCTGGGCAGCCTGTTCCAGTGCTTTGTCACCCTCACTGTTAAGAATTTTTTCCTTAAGTTCCTGTGGAACTTTTGATGCTTCAGTTTC